GGACTGTGATTGGAGCGCAATGCTGTGGTAGAATCGAGTGCCCATATTTGTCCTTGGCCGCGAGCTCTCAGACGCAGTCGCACATGTATTGTACAGTGGTCGTTGATCAACATTGTCATTCAAAATTCCATCGACGCTTTTTATTATTATTCATCATGTTCGCCGTCATTGTTTTTCAAGCAAAAAGGCGGGCTGGCTAGACTGTTTTCGGCCATACATGTGGCCCCGTCACCCTGGAAAGAAAGGAGACTGAAAGGTGTCGGGTTGGCTCTCATGGAGGAACGGGCGAGGTGGTCTTGGTCCTCGTTCAACTGGCCCCGGGCATCGCACTTCTCTCCTAGGCGACTGGCACTGCGAAAACCAGAATCCACTTCAGTGGCCCAGCCGTTCGAAATGTCAGCTTCCAAGCTTGTCTCTCGGTGCGAACGCGGCGGATAAAAAACACCCTGGTCGCGGGGCAATCGGCTCCGGCGGAGAGCAGAGACGTACATACAAGATAGATTGTATTGTACGGAGTAAGTTACATGCACCCACTCGCTCACTTAAGTATGATACGGAGTTGGCCAAGTGTCCCGGTTCATACGTTGTTGCACTTTAGACTGTCTTGGGCAAAGCAGCAGTTCGAACCCACGTTTTTTTATCATCGTCGCCAGGTCTAGTTTATCTGCACTACTCCGTACTGGACACCCACAGTGTCAAATGCCGGTTCCTTGTCCATTCCAAGCCTTCTCAAGAGGGTCTGGACTGGACACGACCTGGCTTGGAACCAATGAGGTCGGCTTGACTGGCAAGCATACGGCTACTCGCTGGTGCAACTCGAAGAAAGATATGGACGGTAGGGTAGGTATGCTTGCAGCAGCGTCCATCAGCAGCAACAACTCCCAGTAAATTATTTGGCCAGTCCCCTGGAAAAAGAGTCGCCCACGTGACTTGGGCAGGGCAGGCCGAGCTTGAGACGGAAAGTTAAAAAGGTATCTGGAGAGCGCCGGCGGTGGCGAGCCGCGGACAAGAAGTAAGAGCCTGCAGTGCAGGCTGAGAATTGCCACAATTGCGGCACGGACATCATGGCAAGAGAGCGACCGGCCTGCGGAGCCAGTCGCGCACGTCGCAGCAACACCCAAGCCAGTGTCAGTGCCCAGTCGAAATTCAACCCGGGAGGGAGGAAGAAGAGCAACATTCGATGAGATGAATTGGGGTGGGGAGAGAGAGAGTGCTTGGAGCACCTAAGCACCATGTACACCCCCTCCGCCACAATGCTGTCGGGCTTAGGGCCTCTGCTGAAGCCGGCCGGGGGACTGCAAATGTCACAGGACCACCAGGCATGTGCGGACGACCCTTTTGACCTCCCAGAAGCCGGCGGTAAGTGGTAAGTGTGGTAATTCTCCTTTCGTGCTCCGTACTCGAGCAAGTACTCAAGTATCTACCACGCATACGCGTTTGCCCAGGTACTTGAGTAGATACAGGGGTGCAGGGCCTGGGCATCCTGGTTCGTTCTGGCTCCGTGGGCAGGGAACCACAGAGGGCCACATGGAGCCACAGAGCCACAGGGGGCAGGAAACTAATCAATGGTATTTCTCCCAGGAATCAGCGCTCAGCAAGAGCGGACACTGAGGGCCGCTGGTGCTGCTGGGCCCGCTGGCCCCACCATCCTCTCTGGGCGCCCACCCCGGTGGCTCACTGCAGCCACCCCTGCAGCGAGTGTCTGTGAGCGCGCTGACACCAGGTGCTACCTTGAGCATGCAGTCCACAGTGCTGCAGCGTCCGGCCGGTTGGCTTCAGGGCCTCGGGGCCTCATGGACTCCAGGACTTCAGGGCTCCAGCACGCAGCAGGACCTCATGGGCCTCACAGAGCTCACGGGGCTTCGTTCTTCCACTGCCAGTGCATCCGGTGCTCCGGTGCGCCGGTGTGGTGTCTCCGGTCGCAGGTTTCTAGAAGTCGGTAAACTCCATCTCACCTGCTGCTCGATCACATCATCATCGGCGTCTCCGTCCTGAATAGTCACCAGTCCGCCAGTCGCGGTCATGAGGATCCAGGTCTTGCTATGTTTGAGTTTTTTTGCTTTGAAAATTTTTTGTTCCTCGGGCAAGTTTGGGGGGGTTGTTTGTTTTTCCCCCCTCTCCCTTGTTTCCTTTTTGTATTCTTTCCCGTTACGCCGCCTCCCTACCTCTTCCTTGCTTTTTCTGCTCTTTGCCCTCTGGCTGATGTTATTGCCAAGGCACCGAGCGGCTCGTTGGCTTTGAGAGGGCCTCGACATTCACAACCGACTTGATGCCAAGCAGGGCTGAATATGTCAAGCTTATTGTCTAAAGTACTGTAGACCTGGCCCACGAACAGCGGCGCAATATTTTGGCTGCCGCTACCGCTGCGGAGAAGCTCGTCCACCATGAGTATCATCGCTCAGCCCAAACGCAGCCGTAGAAGCAGCAGCAACAACAACCAATATCGACGTCAACATCAACATGATTATTGCCGTCATCATGGTCATGTGATCTACGTTCTGATTCGCCACCACCACTGTCACCATCACCACCCATCCTGAACAGGCCGAGGCACTCAATATCATGCGGCGTTTCTGATCGATCACTGTATTGCAGAGCGATACCTGACCACGTCCCACTGCGAGTCCGTAGTATTGCTATAATTAATTACTTCCAGCTAGTACTCCGTAGCCATCTGCTGGATCGAGCCAGCCGCTCTTGTCGTAGCCCGCCAGCCAGCCTGCCAACCCGCCAACCCGCCAACCCGTGTGCCTCGTCCAGCTCTCCGGATCGCCATAAAGTGCCATTTGCTTTTTTTTTTTTCCCTTTCTTTCGCGCTACGGCGGAAATAACCCGACTCTTCGCCTCACACCCCCTCCCCTGTCCACACACATAATACCGCGGCCTCCATCTCGAACGGAGCACGACGTATGTATCTGCATTGTGCGTACGGCGTGATGTTAGCACTGGTGGGCAAATCCCATGAGAGACGAAAGTCCACTCCCAAATCACTGGCTTCCATCCGTTGTTCTGATTGTGTGGTTCCCCCACGTCAGTCCCCGATATTCATGTTCAATTCATGCCTGGTAGCTCAGCCTTTCACAGCCTGCATCCGTCGTCGGGTCCGTAATCTTGCCTCTGCCCAGTCGACCGCCCAATTTTTCCTCTCCTTTTTCTCTGTCCATTACGCATTGGCTCTCGCCCTCACGGTCATCCGATTTCGCAGTTGACAAATTTTCTTGGGACACGGAGTTGTGACGCCAGAATCGGCCTCTGTCCATGCTGTCCGCCCGAGGCTACAAGAGAGCGTTCTCGTGCTTGCGCGTCGTGACCGGTTGAAGCCGCAGAGGTGCTTCCTTTGGCAGACGATTTGCACGTCCGTCTGCTGGCCCTCGAGAACCGCGACTGATTATCTGAAAGGCGGCCCACCGTCGTGTCTTGTCTTGTTTCGTCTTGTCCCAAGCAGCCCTCTGGTGCACAAGTGCCGAGGGTCGCGCCCAATTGCTCCGCCTTTCTTTCTTCATTACTCAAGATCCACGTTGTTCTTTTTTTTTTTTTTTTTTTCCGTATCAAATTTCTTCGGGGCCCGCATCGCGCTGCTGCACAACAACGACAACAATAACAACGACGACGACGACGATCACGACGATCACGACGACGACGACGAAGGCGACGACAACGGCAACGGCAACGGCAACGGCAACGGCAACGACGACATTTTATCGCTGCCTCGCTATTGCGTTGTCACGCTTTCTCGTCTGGAGCACGAAACCTGCAAGCTTGCAGCAGCTTTCAGCAGACGCACGGGAAGGAGCACTGCTACCTCCCGCTTCACGCCTTCTGGCTCACGCCTCACGCCTCACGCTTCAAGCCTCAATCAAGCCTCAAGTCCCAAGCCCCAAGCCCCAAGCCCCAACCAAGCCCCAAGCCCCAAGCCCCAACCAAGCCTGAAGCCTGGCAGCCGGAGCTTTGCCCTGCGATCTGTGATTAATTGACTTGAGTTGCGCATCTCAGCGTATTCTGCGCATTTTCTCCGCTAGACCTCGGCCTGCCTTCCACCCCGACTGACTGACTGACTCTGCTCTGGTCAGAGTTCATCACCAAAGACAATCTTCTGCGCTCACACCCCCCCTCCAGTCCCAGCAGGTCCCAGCAGGTCCCAGCAGGTCCCAGCAGGTCCCATCTCGAGTCAGGCGCTAGGCTCAGTTGGAATTGGGCGCCTCGGCAGAGTCCACAATCGATACTGCACTATATTAGTGTCGCGCTCCGCAATCTGGTTCAAAGCTCTTAGCCCCTCGACTTTTATCCTCTGATCGTGGACGAGTGAGTGCAAACCATCCATCCTTGGAGCCCCCGTCCCCAGCGACAGAGATTCGACTCGGACTGCGGAGTGCTACTCGGTCTTGTTCCTGGTGTCATCACTACAACCTCTGGGAAATAGACTATTAAATCTCCAATCTGGCCGCTGGCACGGGAGCCATCCCCAAGTCAAGTACCAGTACATGCAACAATCGACGGACTCGCACTACTACAATTACAGCCCATTAGCCGCCTGCCACCAGGAACCGTCATCAAACCCATAAACCCACCACGCGCGCCTTATACGTACGCCTTATATCCATCCGCCTTAACAGGGATCACTTTTATCCTCAGCTCCTCCCCTCCTTCGACCTGCAACTCGCAACTCGCAACTCGCAACTCTCAACTCTCAACTCGCAACTCTTGGTCTCGTCTTCGTTGCTGGGCTGCCAACCTCTCCCAGACTCGAGACGCCCGCCGACTGGACGCTCGGAAACCAAAGGCCATATCGATTCGTCCGTCCATCTCCTCGCCGAATCGCCACCAGGGTGCTACTTTGCTCTCCCTCCCATCTCTCGTTTCTCTCCCTCGCGCGCGACATAGACCAACACCGAACCAGGCCGGTGCCTGCCGACCTGCACGTCTTTCGAGCTTCTCTGCGGCGACCCTCTGAACTTGGCTGACTGGGCGACTCTGCGCAACCCTGGACCATTCGCAACCCTATGGACCGATCTGTTCACGACTACTCGCAGACAGGTTTGCCCTCGCCCTATCCAAGCAGCTTCAGCGACAATCATTCTGAAGGCTCGACTGTAGATCACGCGTCAGACGCGCAGTATCCCGTCAAGCAAGAAGTTAGCTACCCGAGCTCGGCGACTCCCACCTCTGAGTACGGCGTGTATCCTCAGTCCTCGCGATCAGGAACCTTCCAGGAGCACATCCAGCGTTCATACCATCCTGCGAGCAGCACTGGCAGCGGAGGTATGGCGCAGCAACAGAACAGTCCGTCATTCACCCAGCAGGATGGGCGAAACCATCAAGCCCATGCCGTTCATTCTGACACCGATGTGCCTATAGACCCGTCCATCGCGGCACCCAGCCCTACTTACCCTTACGGCCAGCACTCGCCGTACGCGGCAAATCCAGACATGGCGCACAACTACTCGCACACAAACAGCGGCATGTATACCCAGCCTCGTCCCGACTGGACAGGTTATTCTCAGCACAGCAGTCAAATCGCGCCTGGGCATCAGATGTACTCGCAATCTCAGGCCTCACAACAGGCTCAACAAAGGCCGAATCAGGTAAGTTTTGGAACGGAACAATTTTGCTTGGTTTTTTTTTTCCGCGACGTAATACCTAGTTTGGCGGGAAAAGTTCGTGTGGCTGGGATCGAGTCGTCACCGAGTATAGAGTTGAACTCTATTTTTGACCCCTCGCCCACAATACGACCGAAGCAAAAGAATCAGCGCCCCCCCTCCCCCCGCCTTTTTTCGGACAGAACCAGCAGACAACGTAATCTATGTCAGAAATGGCTAACACGACTGGGTTTTGAGGTGTACTCGTTCGTGCCAATTCCTGGAGCCCAGCAGCACAAGCGCCCCCGGCGACGATATGAAGAAATCGAGCGCATGTACAAGTGCGGATGGAACGGTTGCGAGAAGGCTTACGGCACGCTGAACCACTTGAACGCCCATGTCACCATGCAATCGCATGGACAGAAACGAACCCCTGAAGGTACTTTTTGCGTCAAAAACCCCCGTCTCTTCTTCGCCTCTGGCGGCTGAAGGGCGACTTGATTTGGCTTGACGTCTTGTCGACTGGCTCGCTGACATCTATTGCTCAGAATTCAAGGAGATACGTAAGGAATGGAAACAGCGCAAGAAGGAGGAAGAAGCACAGCGCAAGGCTGAGGAAGAGCGACAGCGCGCCGCCGTTGCCGCCGCGCAAGCTCACAACGGTGGACCTGATCAAGGCCCTGATGTTCCTCCGACGTCGACTTATCCAGGCTCTCGACCTGTCCAGCTGCCTCCCATTGGATACCAACCAAACCAATATCCCGCTCCTCCGTCAGGGGCAGTCGCGCAACAGCAGATTGCAGACTACGGTACCAGTCATATGTACCAAAACTACCAGCCTCATTCGCCATACGGCCAGCCAACTCAGGGCCTGTACGGCCAGTGTAAGTCCAAAGCATTGATGTGAGAGTCGAGTTGGAAAGGACACTGACGCGAGCTGGCAGCAAATGGTGGCCCACCTGCGAGCCACTAAGTCGTCTCGGATCGTAGAGAGCCGAGGTGCGTGGCAGTCTGATGGGGAAAAGGGTCTGCATTCATGGAGTACCAACAGAACGGGATTACTTACGACTTGTACACTATCTGGGCCCACTGTACGAATCCACATCTTTCTCCTAACTCGTAATTACCATTTTTGGTGGGATTTTTTTTTTCCCTTGGCCTAGTGGCTCTCCGTCGGGGGTCCATTAGTTTCAAGAAATGGCGGTGGAGCGGCTCTCGGCGTTCAGATTTTCGAAGAAAAGGGCGGACGGGTCGGATATACCCTCAACAGGACTCTCGACTGTTGTACGTTTTGTATCGGGGTGAAGTGCTCTCGCGGTTTGTCTTTGGACACGCACACACATTTAGCCTTGCAGAGGCTTTTCCGCCTTCCACATTGGTTGGAGTTTGTCTCTTGTCGAACTTTTACCCCCGTTTTTTTCTTACTTGGTTCTTCCCCTCTTGTGATTTTGTGTCGTTTTGCTCTTGAGTCACTTGCTCGTTTCCCATTATCTTCTTCTGTCACGACCTTTTGCCGTTCATCGCGATTGCAACTTGTTTTTTTGATTTTCACCATTATTCCCCTGGGAAACGGTTGGGCGAGCGGGCGGGCTGGCGGAGAAAGGTTGAAGCTAACGCTTTGCATTTGTTTCACGGTGCATGGGAGGTAGAGGGCATTGTTTTACGAAACTACGGTGGTCGATTTGATTACCAGGCGCATCAGGAACTGTCAGGATATGAAAAGATGGCGTGATGAAGCGAACATCCCCCTTTTTAGTGAAGGGGGGGGATACCTTCTGTGCCGCAAGGCAATCATGGGAGGAGAGTCTTTATAAGAAGATGAAGTAATGCGTGCCGACAAGACTCTACCGCAGAGGACCAACGACGACGGTGCAAAATACACGGTTTCTAGACCGTTGGTTACGTCGACCTTGATGAAGTGGCGGGATGAAGAAGGGAAGGGGAAGCGAAGCGAAGAGAAGAGAAGAGAAGAGGGGACAAAAAAACCAAAAAAAAATCAACAACAAAAGCAACAACAAAAAAAACCCCCATAGCGACAGCCTGTTACCCGTGTATTTGCTACAATTATGGCAATACGACAAGGACAAGAATCACGTAGGGTGGAAGACGCACCAAGATACATGATGGTGGTGCGGAATGGAGCACAAGGCAAGACGAGATGGACATGTTCATAGTTGCAAAATATTGTTTCCTGTTCCCATCCAAGTGAGCGTACAAATATACGTTTTGCAGAAGCGTCAGGACGAGACTAGACGGCGGCTTTGACACTGGGTGACTGTGAAGCAGCGTTGATTCGCCTGGACCCACGACCCGACGCCATCAGGTGGGTGTGAGTGAGGTCAGCCGGTCCCGGGGCAGCGGTTGCGGTGTCGCGACCAAGGAACAAGGAAGGGGACATTGAAGGGGGCTCGGCCCACCGGTCGGGCCGCCCGGGCAGGCAGACGTGATGCAGACGACTAGAAAGTAAGTGCCTGGATGTACGCCGCGTCAACGGGGGAGGTGAGGCGTGCGGTGCGTGCAAGGCGAGCGAGGTTGAGCCACGAGGCGGACGGACGGACGGATGGATGGGAGGCGCCCCTGAGCACCCTGGGAGCGTTGCCTTTTTTGATTTTTCTCTTCTTCTTTCTTTTTTTTTTGTCCCTTGGTCCGCCCTCTTTCCGTCGGGCCTGTGGTCTGCAAGACGGACAGATGAGGGCCGGGTGGGTGGTTACACGCGAGAAGTCGATACGGAGGAGCGCCAGGTGGGTGGGACGACGGTGGTGGTGGTGGTGGCACGGGGTCTGAAAAGCGTTGATGCTCGGGCTGGGATGGACGACGCCGGGGACCGTGGCGTCGATGCAGACGAGTTGGCGACGACGACGGCGATGACGACGCACGTGTTGTTAACATTGTGCCGAGTACGTGGGTGAGCCTGTTGGTACGGAGTATATGCCACATACGCATCCCAGAACCACACGTCACATGTGACGGACGGGGCAGTGAGTGCAAAGAGACAAAGACAAAGTTTAAAAAGCGCTGCTGCCGTGACACGTGTCGTCCGGGCCGGGGCCGCAAAGTTGGAAGACGGCGCGGGACAGGACAGCACAAGACGTCTGGGAGTGCCGTCCATCTGCCAACAAGCTACGATCCACGGAGCACTCGGCAATAAAGGAACCGACTAGTCCGTACGTTACGTGGGTGCTCAAGCAGCAAGTGGCACTCGATGAGCAAGCTGGGTGCGAGGCCCAGCCCATGGCCACGGAACCAGGCGGGCAGGTAGCCAATGGGTGACGGGCAGGGATGACGTGACGGGCCGGGTCTGCGACATTGGACAGTCGACAGGTCCGGATTTGGAAGCAAGGCGGGAACCGGCACGAGGTTGTGTAACGAGGCCATACGCAAAACGAGGCCGTGCAGATGCTGGGCCCGATCGGGTTCCTGATGCCAAGCAAAGGGGGAAGAGGGGGGGTGGTGTGGTGACGCCCGACGCTTCGACGCACAAGACACGAGACACAAGACACAGGACCTTGTTCGAGGGGTGAGACGAGATGAATGCACACGAGGAGCGAGGGTGGTCGGTCCGGTGGTTTGTCGTCATGGTCGTCGGCGGCCTTGAGCGCAACCAACCGGATGCCGACGCGAGCTAGTGCTGGCTGGCCTTTCGGTCCTCTGGCAACTTGTCGGGCAGAAGTTCTGCTGGAAGGGGAAAAAAAAAAGAGAGAGAGAGAGAGAGAGAGACGTGGCCAGCCCAAGCAGGGCAAGGCGACACACGACTACGGCATGGCATGGCTGCTTCTAAAGGCGCTCGGTTGCCTCTAGGCTTGCAGCACGCGGCATTAAAAAAAGGGAATTGCTACACGGGCATGACACTTTGGCTACACGGGCATGACTCTTACACGGGCATGACTTTTACCACTTCTGATTGGTCGCATACTTTCTTGGCCCCACAGATACTTCCTCGGAAAGGCGGTGTAGCCAACTTCACTAACAAGCTCCTACATCACCATGAATTGCAGTCACTTATCGTTGTGGGCGCGATTGGTCTTCTGCTATCTTGCAAGCCTGCATTTCGGATTAAACTACCGTCCTTGTACTGTTAGCCAGTAACTGTCAAATACTGGCAAAAGACGTGATGTGGTCTACTTAATTTATTGCCTCACAACGATACAATCTGGATCTTCGTCATCACTCTTAGCCAGTTCCCATTGACTCCTTGTCCTGCGAATGTTTCGTTGCGTCCTCCGTCCACTGTACCGCACGCCTGTCGTATTCCCAGCATTTAGGACTTTAGAAGGTCTACCTGGCCCTTGCTGGGCTGAGATGCCAATTTGGCCACCAGTTTGTGTGATGGTTTCTCGAGTAGCTTTATGCACTCTCCTAGCAAGAGTTGGCTTATTGAGACTTCCTGGCGGTCGACCTCGTCGCCCACTTGGTTGATTATCAGATCGGCTACTTGATGTAATAGCTAGGCTTTCTGGGATAACCTGCGCTGTATTCTTTGGCCTTCCACGTAGTGCAGTGGCAACTTTCGGGTCAAGAATTCGTCGGTATGGATCTTGAGATGCCGATTCCCGTAGTCGCCAGCGTGGGTGGACCTCCCATTTAGTGAAACGTGTGTCAGAATCTAGCTTTGCGTAGACTTTATGATAGCATGGGATTCCCAGCTCAATAGAGACCGTACAGTCGTCGTCGCAAAGTCCAATAGAGTCGGGGAAGGGATTCTTCCCCGTCGGCAGAAATTTGCGAGCAATACAGTATTGCTTGTTGATTAACCCAAGTCCTTTCGATGACATGGTTGTTCGTAGTTCACCAAGATAGTTTCCCATCGAACCTAGGTATTGTGGAGCAGTCAGGACATCATCCTGTCCACAGGCATCCTTAAAGGCACGTTCTTGGTCATGTATCATATCCTGCATTGCCTCGACGAGTCGGTAGAGGTGGCTCATGCCATTTAATAGATAGCTTTTGATATTATTGTTGCTTGCTTCTGTGCCGGACGTAACTCGGATTCCGAAGTTACGATAACGACGGATAAAGCAACGTGCCCATTGAGCACTAACAGGCATATAAGTCGAGTAGAGGTATTGTAAGATCGCTCGTTGGTCGTCGAACTCTTTACAAAGATCTCTCCATGCCTGCTCAAACGCTTCCTCAGTCTCGGCATAGAGAACCTTTTTCCACATTAAAACAACGCCTTGGTAAGTATGAGGAATCTTATCACTACTCGACCGATCTTCGATCAGATGCTTATCTGTAGTGCTCAACCCGCCATCCGCCTGTGAGGGAATGTCTTCACTGTCACTAGCGCTAGGGCTAGTAGTACTGTCCTCACGTTGGCCCGTCCACCTAGTCTTCGATTTAAGCAAAACGTTTGAAAGGATATGATGAATACAAAGCTGTTGCTGTGCATTTGGAAACTGATCATTAACGGCAGCTTTCATAGCCTTGTCGAAGTCTGTGATGATGACATCTGGTTCCCTGAGTGAGTGTTTTGTAATGAGCTTGCGAACACTCTCTGCAAGGAATTGGAACCCCTCCCTCCTCTCGTTATCTATTAAGCCAAATGCAGCATTGAACACAGTTCCAAGACAGGTTTGGCCAGTAGCCTGGAATAAAGGAAGCTTGAAGCGATTAGTGTTATATGTGTTATCAAAGCTAATAACCTCGGGGAAGCGCTTCCACATCTGTAGACAGTACGGAAAGGTCCAGACAAGACCAAGCAGTCTATCTGGATCATCATCGGCCCATTTCGCGATGTATGGGATCTTCTTCTCATCAAAGAGTTTGATCAATGCCGCAGTAGGTGTATAGCCATTTAGCTTCTCTCGGTTAATGAACGAACGGGCATTATAGATATCCTTCCGCAGGAGTGTTGTATCGGGGAATTGCTCCTCAACCATAGCAGCTACATCACTGGCTCGAATACCCGCGCGACGGCTTGCTGACTCGATGGTTGCTTTAACTGGTGTAGTAAGGCGGCGGTGGGAAACATGCGCAGATGGCGTAATACTCCGTTCATGGTTATGCTGGTGATGTTTCGGGTCTCTATGTTGTCGAAGAAGCCACTTGCCTTCCTCTAGGGCTTCAGCAATTATCATCCATTTGCAATCACACTTCCGAGACCTTCGGGTTCGAAGACCAGAACCCCCCGAGGCCCGAGATTGTCCAAACCGGTCGCATTGAATGGAGTACCTAATCAACCGTCCCTTATAGGAATATTTATTCCGCCGAATAATACCAAATCCGTTCTCCTTTGCAAATGCGTTGGTTGTTTTAAAAAGAACTTCGGCCGAGGGCGCTGGGTCGCCAGGGATTATTGGGTTCGGAATTGGCTCCGGGGCGGGAGATAGAGACTGTCGCATAGGCGAGGAACTAATATTTTCGGGCGTCGGTGATATTCGAGGAGGTTGTGTGGGTGACCTACGAGGTGGAGAGTACGGTGGAGGAGAGTCATATGCTTCGAAACTTAATGGTGACCATCCCCATCTCTCTCGCCAAGCTTGTACACGTTCGTATGATCGAGCAAGGTCTACAGTTAGCCTTCGACCCTCGGATCGAGCTGCCGACGCTGTTGGGCTTTTTTCCTTTCTTTTTTCGCCTTCTCGGCGCCAGGGGTAGACACGTACTACCGGAACTAGAAGCAGAACTAGAGCTGGAAATGGAAACGGAAACAGAATTACTCGGTAGGGCCAGAACCGGAGCCGGGTCTAGCAAGGAGCCTGGGACGCGGGAACGCGGAACGGGCGGCGGCATGGAGGCTAAATAGGCGCCGGCGCCGGCTTGCGGATGGGTTTTGGCGAAACGGCGGCGGCGGCGGCGGCGGCGGCGGCGGCATCTAAATTGGCGACATGGGATGGCATGGGAAATGCGACGAGCGAGGCTTATGCGAGGCGCGGCTGCGTCGGTGTCGGTGTCGGCGTCGGTGTCGGCGGAGTGGCTGTGGACAATGGACAGTTGGCAGCAACAAGTACGGAGTACGGAGTAGATGGGTACCTTGAGTACTGAAGTAGGCTAAGTAAGTAACGTTACTTGGTAGTTGCTTGCCTGAGCACCCGAACCGCCCAAGTACTTCTCAAGTCAGGTAAGTACGCAGGACCTGCCCATTGTTCCAGGCTCCAGGCTGTCCGTCCCCCGTCCTCCCCCGCGCGTGGGTCCGCGGCCCCGGGGCTGGCTAGTGCCTGCCCTGCCCAGGCATCTGCCCAGGTACGTACCCCGCGCCGCGGGCCCCGGCCGGGCCCAGGCCAGCAGTTAATCAATCTGCAATATCTGCCAGTTCCCCAGCGTGCCCAGCGCCGAGCCCCAAGACATTCATTTATCCATTTCTTGCTTCCCAGTGACATCACCTGTCAAAAAGAATCTTGGCCCCCAAGTCCGGTCCCTTGCAGTCGTCCTTGATCCGCTTGCATTTGCGTGCAGCCCATCAGCAACATCATGACCATCATTTTCAGATGCTTATACGCGTCACTGACACCTGTCATCATGCCTCGCACTCTCTCCGTTGTCCAAAGTGGTTGCTGCGCTCGGGGCTGCGGCTTTTGCGTGGCCCAACCTGACGACACAATTCATCACCACTTTCCGTGGTCAACAAACAGCAATTTAACAAAACCATCCTCGTCGCACACCCCCCCTCTTCTTTCTCTCGGTCACTGTTTGTATCTCAAGTACCCTTGGCTTCTCCGTCATTGCCCTTCACCTTGCAAGGTTTAGCACCGCGCCAATTTCGGCGTCTAGTCACAGTCCCCATCTTCCCAAGTGCGACTGCGCCTCGTCGCCAAAGTCCACTTGGTGAATGGCCAGAGAAATCCGTCACGATGGGTGGGACCCGGTAGGCAGCAATTCTCATGTCGCAATGCAAGGCGCTGCAGTCGGCCCGTGGTCCATCTTGCCGGCGCCGTACGAGTGACGTGACCGCCTCGGGCCGCGTGGCTAGGTCGTGACTTGTTGTATGTTGTCGTTGCGTGAGTGATTACATAACGTCACGGGCCGAATTTTGGCGAGTGCCACGGCCAACCCAACACGTCCCAGACCCTTCCATGATGCAGTTTCCCCATGAGGCCTTGGCGCGCTAGAATTGGACTGGCGGTCTCGTCTGATTGCGTCGTCTGATTGCATTGTTCGATCCCGTTCAAGGCGCTTTCGAGCTCGCAACATGTACACACATACGACGAGTAGTTGGAATAAAGTTGGTCTGTGCTTATCTAAGCGCACTTACTGGCACGTCCCATCTTGCTTGCTCTCCTGGCGCGCTTTCCCATTGGTCGTCTGGAACCGCTTCTCAGACAGTTACTTGGACGTCGGGGGAAAAAAAAAAAGAAAGGGCCCAGTGGCACATTACGCCCCAAATC